TGGGGCAGCAACACAAGGGACTGCAAGTAAACCAAAATGGAACCAGATTCATAGAATCATAGAAGATTAGGGTTGGGAAAGACCCCAGGAGGTCATCTAGTCCAGTCCCCTGCTCAAAGCAGGACCAATCCCCAACTACATTATCCCAGCCAGGGCTTTGTCAAGCCGGGCCTTGCTGGCAGGTAAAATCAGAAAGGTTATAAAGGAGGACTGTGGGGGGAAAGCCGACAGGCACAGAGGAGCACACAGTTTGGACAATGGGAAGGATTTATTAAAGGGGATACTTTATATCCTAAAAAAAGAGGAGAGTTGAGCAAAACAAACAAACGAACGGGAGTCCCATTCATTTACATCACATGAAAGCAGACACCTAAATATTGACAAATTTTGTAAGTGCTTGTACACAAATGCTATGAGTCTAAACACTAATATTTGAGTGCCTGGCATTAAAGGAGGATGTTGATATAATAGGTACCCCAGAAACTTGGTGGAATAATGATAATCAATGGACCAAGGTAATACCAGGGTACAATATATAGGAATGACAGTAAGTTGTGCTGGTGGAGTGGCACTATATGTGAAAGAAAGCACAGAGTCAAATATCGTAAAAATCTTAAATGAATCAAACTGTACCCTAGAATCTCTGACTAGAAATTCCATGCGTACATGATAAGAATATAACAGTAGGAATATACTACTGACCACCTGATCAGGATGGTGACAGTGATGGTCAAATGCTCAGCGAGGCCACAAAAACAGAAAATGCAAGAATAAGGGGGAATTTCAACTATCCCCATACTGACTGGGTATGTCACTTCAGGAAGAGATGCAGAGATAAAATTTCTAGACACATTAAATGACGGCTTCTTGGAGCAACTAGTCCTGGAACCCACAAGGGGCGAGGCAATCCCTGATTTAGACATAAGTGGAGCACAACATCTGGTCCAAGAGAGGAATATAGCTGTCCCATTTGGTAATAACGATCATAATGTAATTAAATTTAACATCCTTGCAGGGAAGAAGAAATACCAAAGAAACCCACCACAGTAGCATTTAACTTCAAAAAGGGGAACTGCACAAAAATGAGGACGCTAGTTAAATGGAAATTAAAAGGCACAGTCACAAGAGTGAAATGCCTGGAAGCTGCATGGAAACTATTTAAAAAACACCATAATAGAGGCTCAAACTAAATGATCTCCCAAAGGGGGAAAAAAAAAACCATACGAGACCCCCCAAAATGCCACCGTGGCTAAACAGCAGAGTAAAAGAGGTAGTTAGATACAAAAAGGCATCTTGAAAAAATTGGAAGTCAGAACGTACTGAGGAAAATAGAAAGGAGCACAAATTCTGGCAAGCAAAGTATAATTAGGCAGGCCAAAAGAGAATCTGACGAGCAACAAGCAAGAGCGACAAAAACAAACAGCAATGTTTTAAAAATACCTCAAAGGCAGGAAGCCTGCCAAACAATCAGCGGGGCCACTGGACAATCGAGGTGCTAAAGCAGCACTCAAGGAAACCAAGGCTGTTGCAGAGAAGCTAAATTAATGCTTTGCAATTCTTCACTGAAGAGTATGTCAGGGAGATTCCCACACGGAGCCATTCTTTTCAGGTGACAACTCTGAGGAACTGTCCCAGATTTAGGTGTCAAAAGAAGAGGTTTTGGAACAGGTTGATAAATTAAACAGTAATAAATGTCACAAGGACCAGAGGATATTCACCCAACTGTTCGGAAGGACCTCAAATATGAAATTGCAGAAGTACTAACTGTGGTATATAACCTATTGCTTAAATCAGCCTCTGTACCAGATGACTGGAGGATAGCTAATGTAACACCGAGCTTTTAAAAAGGCTCCAGAGGCGATCCTGGCAATTATAGGCTGGTAAGCCTAACTTCAGTACCAGGCAAATTGGCTGAAATTATAGTAATGAAAAGACATATCAGCTACATAGATGAACATAAAATATTGGGGACCAGTCACCACGGCTTCTGTAAAGGGATATCATGCCTCTCCAATCGATCAGACTTTTGTGCAGGTGTCAACAAGCATGTGGACAAGGTGATCCAATCAATATAGTGTACTTGAATGTTCAGTAAGTCTTTGACAAGATCCCACGCCAAAGAGTATTAAGCAAAGTAACCAGTCATGGGATAAGAGGGAGGGTTCCCCTCATGGCTCAGTAACTGGTTAACATATAGGAAACAACAGCTAAGAATAAAAGATCAGTTTTCACATGGAAAGGAAAATAGCAGGGTCCCCGAAGGATCTGTACGGGGACTGTTCAACATACTCATAAATGATCTGGAAAAAGTGAGTGACCTGTGAGATGGTAAAATTTGCAGATACAAAATTACTCAAGACTGTTCAGTCCAAAGTTGACTGCGAAGAGTTACAAAATGATCTCACAAAACTGGGTTACCAGGCAAGAAAATGGCAGATCAAATTCAAAGTTGATAAGTGCTGAGTGCTGCACATTGAAAAACATAATCCTAACTATTCATACAAAATGATGGGGGTCTAAATTAGCTGTTGCTACTCCAGAAAGAAATCTTGGCATCATAGCGAGCTCACTGAAAAGATCTGGGCAATGTCAAACAAGCTAACAATGTCAGGAACAATTAGGAAAGGACTAGATACAACAGACAATGTCATAATGACACTATATAAATCCCATTAGATGCCCACACCTTGAAGACTGTGTGCGGGTCTGGTCACCCCATCTCCAAAAAGATATTTTAGAACTGGAACAAGTACAGCAAAGGACAATAAAAATGATTTGGGATGTGGAACCATTTCCATATGAGGAGAGATGAAAAAGATTGGGACTGTTCAGCTTAGAAAAGAGCTAACTCGGGGGTGGGGGTGGTGATAGACGTCTATAAAATCATGAATGGTATGACGAAAGTGACTAGGGAAATGTTATTTGACTCTTCACATAATACAGGAACCAGTGTGTGTGTGTGGTGGGGTGGGGTCACTCAATGAAATTACTA